AGCGATTGGCCATCATCTTTGAAAATTCATGGCGATCGGGGGAGGTCCCGGATGACTGGAAAAAGGCTAAGGTAGTGCCCATCTTTTAAATAGGGAAGAAGGAGGATCCGGGGAACTACAGGCTAGTCAGCCTCACCTCAGTCCCTGGAAAAATCATGGAGCAGGTCCTCAAGGAATCAATTCTGAAGCACTTAGAGGAGAGGAAAGTGATCAGGAACAGTCAGCATGGATTCACCAAGGGGAAGTTGTGCCTGACTAACCTAATTGCCTTCTATGATGAGCTAACTGGCTCTGTGGATGAGGGGAAAGCAGTGGATGTGTTATTCCTTGACTTTAGCAAAGCTTTTGATACGGTCTCTCACAGTATTCTTGCCACCAAGTTAAAGAATTATGGGCTGGAAGAATGGACTGTAAGGTGGATAGAAAGCTGGCTAGATCGTTGGGCTCAACGGGTAGTGATCAATGGCTCCATGTCTAGTTGGCAGCCGGTTTCAAATGGAGTGCCCCAAGGGTCGGTCCTGGGGCCAGTTTTGTTCAATATCTTCATTAATGATCTGGAGGATGGTGTGGACTGCACTCTCAGCAAGTTTGCGGATGACACTAAACTGGGAGGCATGGTAGATGCACTGGAGGGTAGGGATCGGATACAGAGGGACCTAAACAAATTAGAGGATTGGGCCAAAAAAAAAACCTGATGAGGTTCAACAAGAATAAGTGCAGAGTCCTGCACTTAGGACTGAAGAATCATATGCACTGCTACAGACTAGGGACTGAATGGCTAGGTAGCAGTTCTGCAGAAAAGGACCTAGGGGTCACAGTGGACGAGAAGCTGGATATGAGTCAACAGTGTGCTCTTGTTGCCAAAAAGGCTAACGACATTTTGGGCTGTATAAGTAGGGGCATTGCCAGCAGATAGAGGAATGTGGTCGTTCCCCTTTATTCGACATTGGTGAGGCCTCATCTGGAGTACTGTCTCCAGTTTTGGGCCCCACACTACAAGAAGGATGTGGAAAAATTGGAAAGAGTTCAGCGGAGGGCAACAAAATGATTAGGGGTCTGGAGCACATGACTTATGAGGAGAGGCTGAGGGAACTGGGATTGTTTAGTCTCCAGAAGAGAAGAATGAGGGGGGATTTGATAGCTGCTTTCAACTACCTGAAAGGGGGTTCCAAAGAGGATGGAGCTCGGCTGTTCTCAGTGGTGGCAGATGACAGAACAAGGAGCAATGGTCTCAAGTTGCAGTGGGGGAGGTCTAGGTTGGATATTAGGAAACACTATTTCACTAGGAGGGTGGTGAAGCACTGGAATGCGTTACCTAGGGAGGTGGTGGAATCTCCTTCCTTGGAGGTTTTTAAGGCCCGGCTTGACAAAGCCCTGGCTGGGATGATTTAGTTGGGAATTGGTCCTGCTTTGAGCAGGGGGTTGGACTAGATGACCTCCTGAGGTCCCTTCCAACCCTGATATTCTATGATTCTAACTGGTAACATTGCTCACCAAAGTGCTGCATATATTCAACACTGTTTCTAAGTCAATGACATGTTTTCTTGCAGATGTGTTTTTCCCGAGGGTCTCTCGCTGGATGGTGTCTCTGTGGGTAATTCTGGCTCTTTTGGGTTTTCTCATTTTCCCAGCAATTTACTACTTCTGGAAGAAACACAAAGCAAAAGGTAAAGTGGCAACATAAAGGGAAGGGATGCAGTGCAGTCAAAGAGATTTTCTGTAAAAATAAATAAACAAGCAGAGGAACCAATGGAGATTTTGGATTTAGTGTTATGAAAAGAGTGGTGAACCTTGGGAGAGAGAGAGAGAAAGAGAGGCTGAGAGAGGAGGAGGCATTGAGCATTTGAATAAATCCTGAATAAATGATTCCACATTTGAACTGAAGTGGACTCATCACCTTTGACATTAATAAATAGCCCAGGTCTAATTTTGTTAAGTATTCCATGAATATTGTCTGAAATACAAATGGGAGTGAGAGTGGGTATGGAAATTTAACATATTTAGTTTGACTGACTGATTAAAAGAGGCATTAATGGAGAGAAGGAGAGGAAGAAAGAGATTGAGATTTTTCTTGGACACTTAGGGCCCAGTTTAACAATGTCATTAAGCATGGGCTTAGCTGTCAGCATGGTTATTAAATCCAATTGACATCAAAGTTAAGAACATGCTTAAGTGCTTTGCTGTACTGGGGCCTTAGTCTCAAATTCTGCTTTCTTGTCAGCATGCACAACTCTGGGCTAGGGCCAAATTCTGCTCTGTTATAGTAGAGTCAATGGGGTTGCAGGGATGTAACTGAGTGCAGAATCTGATCCTTAGCTTTTCATAATAAAATATGCCTTTTCATAATAAAATCTGCTCACCCCACGATCACAGTACAGAACAGAAAAATACAGCCTCCTTCTGTATATAGAAGTACATACACCTCTACCCCGATATAATGCATCCCGATATAACACCAATTCGGATATAACGTGGTAAAGCAACGCTCTGGGGGGCGGGGCTGCTTTACCAGATTATATCTGGCAGCAGGGCGTGGGCGGAGATTTAAAGGGCCCAGAGCTCCAGCTTCTGCGGGGAGCCCCGGGCCCTTTAAATCACCGCTGGAGCCCTGCCGCCGCTACCCCACCGCTACCCCGATATAACGCAGTTTCACCTATCACGCGGTAAGATTTTTTTGTCTCCCAAGGACCGTGTTATATTAGCATAGTAGAGGTGTATTGAAATGTAATTGCTCAATTCACTTTGCTCTGCTGTAGTTAATGGCAGAAGCAGGCCTTCTGCAATTTTTAAGTTTTTTATATGAAGTGATCTCCTTATAACATCTGAGGCTCAAACTGTCACTTTAATCCTCCCCAAATGAATATCACCCCTTGGAATTTATCTCTGCTAGTGCACAGCACCTGCCGTCCCTTTCGGGAAGAAATATTTCAAAAGCTATTCATGGTTAAGTTCTGAACTCCAGCTTGGCTCAAGCTGAACTGACACACCAAAGGAGTGAAATGTGCATGTGTTGCAAGCCAGAGGATGGCTCAAGGTGATGTGCTATGGCTATTGAACCTAAGCAGCACCCATGAACTCTGAGTTTCAGCAGCTTTCAGAACATGTTTGTTGTCATGTTCCTTGCAGTCTCCAGTGGCTCCTTTTGGAAGTTTTGCCCTGAATCCAAAGCTTCTGGTTTTCAGAACAATATTTTAAAGTGGACTAAAATCCACATAAAGCACAATTCAATTTTAAATTAGAAGTGTTGTAGAAATTAGCATTAATTAAATAGATGGAAGATTAAATACTCTAGTAATTAGTTAGGGTAATGCAATTGTGACTCTAGCTCCTCAGCCACTACCTGAACAATGGGGCTGAGTGTGATCAAAGGAAAGCAAGTCACTGGGTCATTTGGTCAAGGGTTTCCTTAATCCTCACCCCACCCCCCACATAATGTGAGCTGCTTGTAACATTTTTAGATTCTTGTATCTTTTTTGGCACAGATCAAGAGACTATGGGGGGTTGGAGTAGTGAGGAAGAATGTGTGGTAGGGGGGACGGGGGAGTGTGAGGATTGGCAAGGTGCAAGGTGGGTTTCTGTCCTTTTACCAAACTTCATCCCTTAGGACTGTGCTCTGGCACTGCAACCGTGGGGTCAGCACAGCCCTAGACAACAACTGTTATGTTGTTCGTTATGCATAACTAGTTTGAACCAGACAGAATAAAGAGATCAAAGAGCTACACTTAACACTGAGTGCAGCTTGAGTGCCCTGCAAATAAATGCTGGAATTCAAACCTGTGGAACACAACACAATCAATGGCATATACTCTTAATCGTATTTCATACCTATTTATTATAGCACTCCTTCTTACACATCAATTCCCACTGGCTATTGCCAACTTTAAGAGCAGAGTTAAGGTTGTTATGCAGGGGTGGTGTGTACCTTATTTCTGTTTCCTAGTTTTCAGAAGTTTAAGTTTGTGTTACCTCAGCTTTTCATTTCCTGGTTTCAGAGGTTTGAGTTTGGCTGAACTCAACATTCTGGAAAGAGTCTCAGGAGACCTGGTAGGGGCTAGGCATGGGAGTCTAGTGTCCGTACAGAATGTAGAGTGGTCTGCTACTTCACTTTTCTTTTTAAATCCAAAAAGATAACTTTGAGTCTGGGTACAGGGAGGAATTGGGGCCAAAGCCAGTGCATTGCACGATATCAAGAACAAACTGTGGTATATTCATTGCTGTGTTCTAATTTTTTTTTTTTTTTTTTTTAGGGGTAACTCCTGGCTGAACTTCGTAAGTACCATCTCTTCCTCCGCCTCCATTATAAATTCTGTATGGATGTGTATCCTCTGAAGACTCTGTTCTCATCTCTCTGTGTGTTTTGGTTTCAGGGTGGAGTAATGTCAGACAATATGCAGGTAAATAAAGATTATGTTTATTCAATGTTGAAACCCCACCTACCCTGTTCCCTTTCCTTGTGCATTGGTCAGTTTAACTGAAATAATCCATGTAATCTAACACAGATTTAGACCATTAGTGGTTGCAATGAAATAATTTCTAAGTAATCAGCAATTTGTTACTCTTCTGGGAGGATAAAAAGGTGAGCTGGGAGATATGTGAGTTAAAGGGAAAAACAGGATAACTTGGAAAGGAGCATGAGTTGGATGCATACATCATTCAATGGATTTACCGAGTTTATATCACAGAAGGCAGGAGGGAAGGAATTATCTTGTTACTGTTGCCTGCTTAGGAAATAGAGGGACTCTTTATTTTAAACAAATATTTTAAAAAGTGTAGCTCTGACTCTGTTAAAAGGACCTCATGGGACTCCATGTTTGTTGTTTCTCAAGGAGTCCATGTCAAATGTGCTCAGTTTACAAGTCAAAATATGTATTTTTTTTAACTTCCAACCCTGAAAAATTATCCTAATTGAGAGTTAATCTGGGTTCTTTCATTCTTGTGTGTCAATACCCCCAGTATCTTCAAGATGTGTTTCTATATGTATTCCATTCCTGGTGCACATATGCTCTCAGTGCTGAAGATCAGCATGTTTAAGCAGCAGTCCATCTCTCTGCCCTAGCTCCCTCTTGTCCCCAAATCCTGTGGGCATGAAAGCTTGGGGTGCCCCACCCACCCCCAATCAGAAGGGCAGGAAAAGTTGTGGATCTTTTCCCATCACCTACTCCCTTTGGAAACCCTCTCATTTAGTTTTTAGAAACAGGGAACAATATTTCAACAGAACAATGGATCTTCAAAATTGTCGAAACTGGTTATAAACATTTCCAGACTATTCCTACTACCCTTCCCCATCACTTTTCAGGGATCCCTCTCACTAGAAGATATTACAACAAGAAATTCACTCTGTTATCTCTTGGAAGCATGGAAGTGGTTTCTCCATAGTTCAGGGGAAAGGATTTTTATCTTCATTTCTTCCTAATTCCCCAAAAGAAGGGAGGTTGGAAAACTAATCTGGACCTAAGAAGACTCAACATATTTATTCAAAAATTTAAATTAAGAATGGTGACCCTGGTCTTGCTTATTCTTTCCCCAAAATTGGTTTGCACCTGGTGACCTCCAAGATGCATATTTCCACATTTCTATTCATTCTGTGCACAGGAAATATCTGTGTTTTGTGGTAGAAATTCAACACTCCCAATACAGAGGTTTTTTTTTTCATTTGGACACTTCAACAGCTCCAAGAGTCTTTACAAAATTCCTATCAGGCATTGCAGTCATTGAAGCATTCCTAAGAAAGTAGAACATTAGAGTTCATCCCAGCTTTGAGTTTATCCTTATTTTGACACTTGGCTGGTTCAAGGACCTTGTCCTCAAGAAGTCTCAGACAACATTTGACAATCCAGACCTAAGAGTAAACAAAGAAAAATCTATGATAATTCCATCACATAAGACAGAATTCATTGGGGCTCTTCTGGATTCTGCTATGACATCTGCTTACCTATAATTACCTGCAATCCTATATTTGGTATCTCAAGACAAAAGGAGAATACTTCATCCAGATCTATGGTCCCTGCATGTTACAACTTGGATGATTTTTTTCATGAATGATCTGGAAAGAGCATGCTCTTGCGGAGATGAAGGAAGAGGGGGACATGCATCAGGGCCCTAGTTGTGCCCTGGGTGAGCGCCACTTCCCACCACCCAACACAGATGTAATGAGGTTGAGTAGTGCCCATCTAAGAAAAATTAAAACTACTGATTATTCCTCAAAAAAGGTTTTTACTGACTTTCCACTATAAAGGCAACACAGACAAAATAAAAAAGCAAGAATAAAGACCAACACTAAATAAGGATTAATATAAATGGCAAGTTATATTGAAGACAAGCACATGTAAAGTTATTATTCATCAGCTACTTACTACTATTCTTAACACTGTAGTATCGATACAGACTTGAGATCAATTCAGCTTGAGCAACCAGACTTCTTTACTCCATAAATTTATACTGCATGCAACCAGACTTCTTTACTCCATAATCTTACCCTGCATTCGTCCGAAAATACGTTACCCTTCAGTCAGCCGTTTTCCACACTGGCCAGGTACAGACAGTCGAGAAGTGCACGTCCCTTCGGTTCAGGGGGTGTGGGTACCGAACACACACACACACACACACACACACACACACACACACAATTATGTGCCTTTGTTCTTTTTATCTTATCTGCCAGCCATTTTTTAAAACAGACCAACCAATTAGGGTAGGCCAAATTCTCAGTGTGGTTAGCGTTGTCGCTTTGACTGTATAATTTATGCTTACTTATTTTCTTGTTGTTTTGACTGTATAAATTATGCTTACTTATCTCCTTGTAGCCAATTGTTTTAAATGTGGTTAATGTGGGTTAGACAAGCTCTGCCCAGGGGCACAACATATCTCACTTTATAGGAGTCAGCGTAGTGTGTTATCTGGTTGCAGCGCGTTTTCACCACAAGTCTTAGTTTCCTTTTGCAAAGCTTGCTTTTTTAAAGCTTCCAGAAGTTTGAGGCCTCAACATTGACAATACTTTTGTTCAGTTTAAGCTTGACAATGCTTTTGTTCAAATTAATCACAGTTCTAAGGATGTCCAAAATATTTTGATTAATAGACTGTACAAAATCTACCGACAAAACCAAATGGAAGAGATTCACAGTTTGAGCTCAAGTGCACTATCTCTCTTTTTGAATAGACATTCCACTTATTTTGCACTAATTACTTTCATTGAAATCAACTGGCCTCTCAATTAGTTTCATACAAGTCCAACTGGCAGCTCTATCTGCCTTTCATCCACATATTCAAAACTCATATTCAGAATTACAAAGTATTCTCACATGCTGCATGTCTAGATTTATAAAGGGGCTTAGTGCAGATTTCCCCTTACAGTCAGAGAATCTCCTTTGTGGGATTTTAATGTTATTTTAGCAAATCTGAAGCTTCCACCATTTGAACCATTAGCTGCTTGTTCATTTCAACATCTTTCTGTGGAAACTCCATTTCTGCTTGCCACCATGGAGTCAGAGAAATCTTAGCCTTAATGGCAGACCGACTGTACACTGTTTTTCATAGAGATAAGGTCTCAGGACTCATCCTAGTTTCATTCCTAAAATTGTATTCAAATTTCATATTAATCAAACTATTTGTTTAACTATTTTCTTTCCAAAACCTCTCACTAGTAATAGGGAAAAGAAATTACTCACCTTAGACATTACAAGAGTACCATTCTTTTAGACAGAACTAAGCCGTGCAGAATCTCATTTAGATTATTCATAGTCTATGCTAAGAAGGTAAAAAGCGGGCTGTTTCTTTCAGAAGAATATCCAAATCGATCTCTGACTGCATCAGGTTGTGTTACCAGAAGCTAACCTTTCTCCCCCTATTCAGATTAAAGCTCACTCTACCAGAGTTTATGCTGCTTCGGCAACTTCCTTTGGAAATATCCCTATAAATATATAAGACAACTATCTGGGGTAATTTCACCATTTCACTGTGCTTAGGAGAGGTCTCCAGAGCTGATGCTTGCTTTGTTAAAGCAGTTGTTCAACTGCGGTTTTCTTGAGATTTCAGTATCCTACCTCCTAGTTTGAGTTCACTGCTTGGGAGCCACCAGGAGTGGAATGCAGATAGATAATCACTTGAAGAGAAAGAGGCTACTTACCTTACAGTAACTGATGTTCTTTTGAGATGTGTTGCCTTTCCCATCCCATGGCCTGCCCACCTTCTGCACTATATCAAAGGCTGTACTCATTTGGATTTTGTTTAATGAAAGAACTGACAGGCAATTGGCCCTGCCTGACCCTTGAACAACTTGAACAACAACAACAACAAAGGTGAAATTATGGAAACACATGGTTATAAGGTCCCCCAAACTTCCTTCCTCAGTCTCCTTAGTCGTGTCAGCCTCTCATCTGCCCTTCTCTGTGCCTTTTATTTTTTATAGCTATCCAGCAAGATGTTATTTTTGGATCAGGATTTTTCTTAAGAGATTTAAGAAATCCCTTTCTGTGTGTTGACCCTCCCTGCCCACCTTCCCCACTACCATAGAGCTGCAGACTAACAATTCCTAAATTAGTGGTAGCAACCAAAGGATGGCTGTATTGAAAATACATCCATTTATCTAAACCTCTCACTCCATCATTGAAGACAGGCTATCCTCTGGGAAAATGGCTGCCTCATAGACTTCATAGTTAAGAAACTGGACAGGCAATTATAAGGAGCACTAGGAAGGTGGGGAGCAGGAGACAGCATAGGAGGAGTGCAGGGGAGAGACTGAGGGGTTCTGAGGGATGTAGGGTGCATAGAGGAGGCTGAGGGAGGTGCAAAGGAGCACTTGAGGGGGTGCAGGAAGGTAGGCTATGAGGGTAATACAAGGGCAGCAGAGAGGGATTGACAGATTTAAGAGACTGTGGGGAAAGGGCGATGGGAGGAGCTCAGAGGGAGGATGTGAGGGGGGAGGAGACTGCGTTGGGAAGGGACAGAGACATGGTAGTGTCAGATGAGGGTGTGGAGGGGGTAGAATGGCAGTTTCCCCCCCCCCCCCAGGCACAAGAGAGGGCAAGAGGGCATCTCCTCCAATTAGACACCGGGAGACTGCATTTCTGCATGTTCATTGCTGGTGAGTCTGGACACAGAGATACTCTCTCTCACTCACTTGGGGAGGGGCCTTCCCCAGAAAGGCTCAAATGACACAAGTGAAAACGAACAAGCAATGCTTGCTATCTATTTACCTTTTAAATCTCAGGAACTTTAAACCACACTCATGATTATTTCAGGCCTAGTTCATGACTCTGAATGCATGGGGTTGATTTTACCACATTCCCTGTTCCTCTTGCTGTCCTCAGAACTGTCACTGGCTAAGACTTGGGAGCTGGTGTCCGCTATCCCCCACTGGCTGTGACCTGATAGCCACCTGTTACTCCATGAGAGTTTTTTGTCCCCTTTTCTCTTTTTCCATCATCCCCAGGGACGCTCTTCTCCCTATGTTGGCAGGAGGGGCTGTCTTTTGGTGTCTCCTACTCTGCTCACCAGGAGCAGGGGTCTCAATTCCCATCCCTCTTAGTGCCACCACTTCCTCTCTTCCCACTTGGATAGGGAGTGGCACCAGACCCACAAGGCAGAAACACTGAAGATGTTTCCTCTCTGCCCACCCTCAGCCTGTGCAGTCTGCCTGCTCTGCTACTCTGTCTCTGCTGCCCCTGCAGGGGGTCATAGTGATGGGGATGGGGGCAGCAACAGCAGAAGTCCCTGGAGTCTGGGTGTGGGGAGCTGCAGTGCAATCACTGCCCACCCCAGCAGAGGCAGCCTCTGGGCCAAGGCAGAGGCAGGAAACCAGGGAGTAGCCCAGCTTGAGCAGGGCTGTTGAGGAGGGAAAAACAACCCCAGCCTCCCTCAGGGCTGGGCTCGGTCTCTGATGCCCCAATTCTCTCTCTCCATAGTGGATGTGACTCTGGATCCAGACACAGCTTATCCCCATCTCGTCCTGTCCGAGGATCGGAAAAGTGTGGAATGGAGACCCCAACATCGGGATGTACCTGACTACCCCAAGAGATTTGACTGTGTAACCTGTGTGCTGGGCTATGAGGGCTTCATTTCAGGGAGACATTACTGGGAGATAGATGTAGGGGGTGGGACAACTTGGGGTGTGGGAGTAGCCAAAGAGTCTGTGAGCAGGAAGGGATGGATTCACTTTAGCCCTCAGGAGGGGATCTGGGCTGTGGATGAGTGCAGGGGTCAGCACCGAGCCCTCGCCCCTATTGAGATCCCCCTGTCCCTGAGTAAAAGCATCAGGAAAATTGGGATTTACCTGGACTATGAAGGGGGGCGAGTAGCATTCTATGATCTGGTTAGAGAGGACCCATTCTTCACTTTCACAGCCCATTTCTCTGAGAAAGTATTTCCTTTCTTCTTGGTGTATTCTCAAATCACAGTGTGTCTCCGGGGGACTGGGGAATGATTTGCCTATTGCAGTCTGAGGTCTAGCCTCACACCGCTAAGTCTCTGGGGGATTGTCTGCTCCTCAGCAGCTACAGATGCTCTGTCTCCAGGGAGGAAAGTTAGGGCATGTTCACACTGGCAGAGTTATAGCACCTTTGTCCCTCTCTGCATTCCCACCCCTCCTTCTAAATGGAAAAACACCAGGTTAAAGATGAATTCCAGTTCAGGTGAAATGATCACATGTCACTGTAAGACTTCATTACCCACTTGCCACACAGGTATACAGGAAGACTTGCAAGTAAACAGAGCCATTTACAACCAATTGTCCTGGTTAATGGGCGCCATCAAGATTCCAAGCCACCATTAATGGCCCACACTTTGCATAATTACAATGGGACCTAAGAGTTATATTTCATATTTCTAGTTTCAGATACAAGAGTGATACATTTATACAAATAAGATGAACACACACAGTAGATAAGCTTTGTAATGATACCTTACAAAAGACCTTTTGCATGAAGCATATTCTAGTTACATTATATTCATACTCATTAGCATATTTTCCTAACATCATATGGAGTGCACCATCACACCTGCTATGTATGTACTGCAGCGAGGGTGTACCCGGTCCACTCACCATTCTTTGGGGTGTACCATTCATTTGATGGACTGAAAGGACACATTGAAGAGTGCTGGTTGCAACTGCTCCCACACGTTTGCCCATTGGGGAGTATTTCCAGCTCTAGGCTGTGGCCACCTTAAAGCTGGATTTTTCCAGCTTGGCATTCAGGGTGAGTTACATTCTGCAAAGCTGTTAAATTGTCACATACCCAACATCCCAGGGGACATAAGCAGTGACAGCAAATCCAGGAGCTGTGCACCAGCTTTGCGCCACCCCAGGACAGACAGAAGGAGCGTACCACTCTATTGACAGAGGTGATGCTTGCCCAATTAGAGCCCAACCCTATTGGATGGCTCCTCAAGCCAAAACCGCAATAGAAAGGGAGATCAAGGACATGTTACAGATGGGTGTAATCTGCCCCTCTGAGAGTGCATGGGCTTCTCCAATAGTTCTGGTTCCCAAACCAGAGGGGGAAATCCGCTTTTGTGTGGACTACTGTAAGCTAAATGCTGTAACTCGCCCAGAAAACTGTCCAATGCCATGCACAGATGAGCTATTGGAGAAAATGGGATGTGCCCAATTCATCTCCACCTTAGACTTAACTAAGGGGTACTGGCAAGTGCCGCTAGATGACCCCACTAAGGAAAGGTCAGCCTTCATCACCCATGTAGGGCTGCATGAATTTAATGTCCTCCCTTTCGGACTGTGAAATGCACCTGCCACCTTCCAGAGACTGGTAGATAACCTTCTGGCTGGATTTGGAGAATTTGCAGTCGCCTACCTTGATGATGTGGCTATATTCTGAGATTCATGGGCAGAACACCTCCAAACTGTCTTCCAATGCATAAGGGAGGCGGGATTAACCGTTAAGGCAAAAAAAAAGTCAAATGGGCCTAAACAGGGTAATGTACCTTCGACACAAGGTGGGTCAAGGAACTATTAATCCCCTACAGGCTAAGGTAAATGCTATCCAAAATTGGCCTGTCCCTAAGTCAAAGAAGCAGGTCCAATCCTTCTTGGGATTGGCCGGGTATTACTGATGATTTGTACCACACTACAGCCAAATTGCCACCCCACTGACAGACCTGACCAGGGAGAAAACCAAATGCAGTTCAGTGGACTGAGAAGTCTCAGAAAGCCTTTAACCAGCTTAAGGAGGCCCTTACATCTGACCCTGTACTAAGGGCCCCGGACTTCGACCAACTGTTTGAACCACAGATGCGTCCAAGCGTGGTATAGAAGTGGTTTTCATGCAGGAAGGACCAGATCAACAATTCCATCCTGTCATGTTTCCTATCAAAAAACTTTCTGAGAGGGAAAGCCACTGGTCAGTCTCAGACAAAGAATGTTATGCCATTGTGTAGGCTCTGGAGAAGCTACGCCCATACATTTGGGGACCGTGTTTCCACCTGAAAACTGCACTGAAGTGGCTTCACTCAGTCAAAGAAACTTAACAAAAAACTTCTTCAGTGGAGTTTAGCTCTTCAAGACTTCGATTTTGAAATACAACACACTTCAGGAGCCTCTAACAAAGTGGCTGATGCACTCTCCTGGGAAGGTTTCCTAGAATCAGCCGGGTAAAAATGTCCCTGCATTCTAAGTCATTGTAGTCCTTAAAATGTAAAAAGTACTGTTTAGAATAATAGAATATCAGGGTTGGAAGGGACCTCAGGAGGTCATCTAGTCCAACCGCCTACTCAAAGCAGGACCTAATCCCAACTAAATCATCCCAGCCAGGGCTTTGTCAAGCCTGACCTTAAAAACCTCTAAGGAAGGAGATTCT